ACACAGTATGTTTAAAATTACGGGCATTTATGTATACTTAGTCACTGTACATTTATTACACATGACAATTATAAATGTAACTGTATTTTTCTAATGGATAAAGAATAGACGACGATAGTAAAATACAGCATATCAACAGCAACATGTGTGGTGGTCACATAATTAAAAATAAACATCTTAATGTTTAATGGGACGCCTAAACTGCTCTCCTACAACTGAACTAAGCATATAGGACCCTGCGCTACAGGATCTCATACAGTAAAAGTTCCTGATTCACGGTTTCTTTATTCGCGGGTGAAAAAATTGCAACCCAATTCCCGTATTCGCAGTTAAAAATTTCATTATTCGCGGATGCAATCGGTAAACAGAAAAGGATTCGGTGACATTTTTTAAGTGGATTGACCGCAATACACCGCTCGTGCCTAGTGTAAATTTTTCCGAAAACTTTCTGTTCTATTCTAAACATTGTGATTTACCGATGCGAGATAAATATTTGATTTTTTGTATGGTAAAGACAAAGGTTCACACTTTTTGGTTTTCAATAATATGGTCATTAAAAGCTTTTACACGTGCTTAAACTTGGTGCTTCTTGTAGGACGCGTATTTTCAATAGAAATTAAAAAANTAGCCGGAGGACTCATTGCTATTATAAATATGTATGCGCTTTTGTAAAAAAGTATACTCTTTATTAACAATTCAATTACGGATATTGCTTCTTATGGGATTCGGTGACATTTTTTAAGTGGATTGACCGCAATACACCGCTCGTGCCTAGTGTAAATTTTTCCGAAAACTTTCTGTTCTATTCCAAACATTGTGATTTACCGATGCGAGATAAACATTTGATTTTTTGTATGGTAAAGACAAAGGTTCACACTAAGTTGGTATGTTTTTGGTTTTCAATAATATGGTCATTAAAAGCTTTTACACGTGCTTAAACTTGGTGCTTCTTGTAGGACGCATATTTTCAATAGAAATTAAAAAATTAAAACATGGCCTTCGACAAGCTTTAGAGCAAAGCTTTATCTATCTTACTACAAAATTTCAAACCTCTGTTCCAAACATTAAACTCATGATATCTAGAACCGATAAGCATGTTTTTACTCTACGGCGCGTGTACTACTGAATCCCCTTAATGTATCGGCATTTTTTGAGTATGTACAGTTGGTACATGCCGAAGCGGCTTTTTACAAAAAACCTAACCGAGTATAAAAGGATTCGGTGTTATTTTTCAACGTATCAGCATCTTTTGAGTACTATTGGCTCGTGCCGAGGCGACTTTTATAAAGGATGTAACCGAGTGGACTAATTTCAAAATTCAAAACAAGAAAAA